AATCATATTTTATTACTTTTATGATTTTTAACAATAAGTATACTTAATTAATATTATTAATGATATTTCATATATATCCATCAAATTATAAAAATATATATGTACGATTATTTCTTGAATTTATAATATTTCTTTGAACAGGTATTATAAGAATCAACTATTAAAAGAATAAATTATTTTCCTTTTTCCTATTATTCATCTTTTCTTTCTTTTTAATCTTTTTTGTTCTTGCTTATTTTTAATATTTTAATTCTTATAAATTATTTACGAATAATTCGATTAAAATTTAATATTATACATTATGTAATATTATACAAACACCGTTTAAAATATTATATATTATTTTATAATTAAAAGAAGACATATTAAAAATGTAAAAAGTCTTGGATTAAATTTAATTCTCAGGTAAACTGACGTAAAAAAATGTCTGTTCATTCGAGAACTTGAATAACATCGCTGATTCACTATGATGCGTCATGTTAAAGACGATTAACAAAGTGTAAATAATTTATATAGACGTGAATGTCATATTTGCACGTGAAATAAATGAAAATCGGCATTAACTCGTGATCACAGTAACGCGATTCTTAAAAAAGACGAAGAGAAGTTCGCAAGGACATCAAAACGGTCGGCATCATCAAAGTAACGGTACTTTAATGATACTCAAAGAAACCGACACGTGTATACATGCATATCTATACTATATAGCGAGACATATATATTACAAAATATACTACTTTGAAATTTAATATATTTTTTTAAAAAATAAGTAAAATCACAAAATTTTTTTTTCACAAGAAATTGATAAATAAAAATTTCAAATTTGTTCGGTTCATATTGGAATGATATTTATCTTATCTTTTCAATCTTTTTAAAATAAAAATGTTACCAAATATGAAGATATTTATTACGTTTGAAATTTTCTTTTGAACGTTTCAAACTGTTACTAATTTTTAAAAATATCATTTATAAAAATAATATTTCACACACTTTCTAAAATTTTTCAGTTTTTTTTATGATAAATTTCCAATAATATTAAAATATCCACATATTGTTTTAGAATAATATTTTTAAATGATTTTTTATGAATTAATGAAATAATTAATTTAAATAATAGATTTTAATATTTTTAATTAAATTTGAACATATATCTTTGGTTCAAATTAAATTTTAATTTTTAATTATTATTTTTTTTATTATTATTGAAGAAATTTTATTATTTTGTATCAATTATTTAAATAATCTATTTGTAATAAAGTAAAAGTGTTGATAAATAATTTAAAATGAATATAAAACTTATGTATTTTATTTTCATTTATTCCCATTATAATAATGAGAGTTCTAATTATATTCCTTGGAAAATATCTAACAAACAAAAATAGCAAGGCAATAATATTTCGAAGAATTGCACGCGATTGCATTTCTACTAAATTTATTCGTTAATTCGTTACATATTAATTCTATTACACATTAATTTTTATACATATAGTTTTTTAAAGAAATTCTAATATATAAATTTTATCGTGGATCAATTTTAAAATTTATTAAAGATATTTATTAAAAATATAGAAAATATTATAATTAAAAAATTATAGAAAGAAAATAAAAAATTTTTAAAATTTTAAGGATTTCCAATTCGATTAATTTATTAAGAATTTATTAAACTATTTTAAAATAAAAATTATATCATTAAATTTATTGATATTTTTGTAATAAATTTTTAAATTATTATTATTATAATATATCATAATTAATTTAATTGCGTGCAAAATAAATAATAAATTACAAATTATCATGTATTGTTAACATTAAATATGTTTTACTTATATTTTTTTTTATTTTACATTTATCCTCATTTATCCACAGTTTATATGAAATAAAATAATTCAAAGCTTTTTTTTCATTAAAAAATATTGAAATAAATATAATTTTTTTTTGTTACTCTTAAAAATCTAAACAATCTTTTGACATGTAATTTTATATAATAGGTATATGTATTCGTTAATAAATCTGAACACTTGTTAAGTCACTATGGTCTCCTTCTTGTTCTCTGATCTCTTCATATGAAACTATTATGCTTTTATTCAATCATTAATAAAACTAACATGCTTGTTACATAGGAAACTACATAACATCATACTTAATGAATTTTTGCAAAGTAATCTACAATTGTACAATATCGAAAAAATCAGAAAATCAATTAGAAATAAAATTTTAAAAAAATTAAAAAAAAAAATTTTTTAAAAATTTAAAAAAAATTTATGTAGAAAATAAATATATATATATACATATACATATATCTAATGAAACAAATATTTTTTTCTATAAATCATCAATTCAAAATAATTTTTATCATATTTTTATGGTATTTTCATATATATGTTTGTATATTATTATCGTCATAAGATAATATCAATTTGATAAGAGAGGATAAAAAATCAGAATACATACTTTTTTCAAAAATATATTATATTTTTTTTATTACACATGTCATTAAAAATAATATTAAATCCAGATTTTATAATAGATTGCATATTTGAAAATAAAATATTTTAATATTTTAATATATGTATATAATTATTTAAATGATATAAATTATTATTATTTAAATAAAA